CACCAGCAGCACCACCACCACCAGCAGCACCACCACCACGACGACGACGACTGCTGCTGCTGCTGCTGCTGCTACGGCTACCCCCACTACTGCCACCACTACTCCTATGCTGCTGCTCCTTCGACGACGACGACTCCGCTACTGCTGCTGCCGCTGCTGCTGCTGCTGATGCTGCTGCTGCTGCTAGCGCTGCTACTGCGACTACTGCTGCCGCTACTACCGCTGCTGCTGCTGCTGCTGCTGCTGCTGCTGCTGCTACTGCTACTACTACGACGACGAACGACGACTAGTTCTTTTCTGCTTGGTGCTATTGGTATGACGATAATATGCTTATGGTGATTATTGTTTTTTGGCATTGTGCTCGAAACGGATAGTCATAATCACACTATTCCTGTTGTGATTGTGACGACTCTTAGCTGACATAAGTATTTTCGACTTCGTGTAGGTATCACTGGCCTTATTGCTGCCACCATTCTGCGACAGGTAGCCTGTCAGTATGCCGGAGTCTCTTTCTTGTATTCCTAGCTTCCTTAGCAGATTGTGATGTCATTATTGTTATTCTCCGTTAATAGAATGTGTGCACATACATGCAGTACTGCTTGTAAACACGTGTTAGATATTAGTACGTATGTGTGAATGTCTGTGTGTAAGTATGTATGCATGCATGCATGCATGCATGCATGCATGCATGCATGCATGTATATGTATGTATGTATGTATGTATGTATGTATGTATGTATGTATGTATATATGTATATATGTGTGTATGAACGTACATTACGTATGTACGTGCGTGCGTGCGTGAGTCTGTACGTATCTGTGTACGTATTCAGCTATGAATGTATGTATCGTACGTACGTACGTACGTACGTACGTGAGTCTGTATGTATCTGTGTAGGTATTTAACTTTGAATGTATGAATGTATGTACCGTAGGTGCGTGAGTCTGTATATGTATCTGTGTACGTACGTAACTACTGTATGAATGTAAGTGTGCATGCATGCAGATGAATGAATGAGTGAGTGAATGAATGAACGAGTAAGTAAACATACGAGTCAGTGAATGAGTGAATTACTGTACGTATCGTAATTAATTACGTGTCGGCGGTTCGAATCCTCGCAGAAGGACGACGCATATCATATCCCCTCTGCCCTGTGCTGACACGTGTCCGCTCTTTGGATTCTGCCGGAGCTCATCAGGCTTTCTCAGCCCAGCACGGCGGTGCCTTTTTGTTGCCTCTACCGCTGTTCTCTCAGGGGATCCCGCATAAGAGGGGCGCTTTTATACGCTTGTACTTGGGCCAGGCCAACACGGGCCACCCAGCCCCATACATGCTTTGCCACCAAGCTTGCGCAGTGAGCCGTCGGCATGTCTGCAGGTTCTGTACACTCCCGCCGGGCTTGTTTCTGCCGGCAACGACCGACAGGCACGCGACTTTGGGCACTGCCACCAGCAACGGGGTTTGCAAAAGAAGCAGCATTTTCAGTACATGCATCTTCTCAGAGAAGTCCCTTAGGCGCTGGACTGCGGACCGAAGCCAAGACACAGTAACACCACACAGTGTTTCACATGTTGCAGTGACGCGAAGTCTGCAGCGCCAGGTCCTGCTGTGGTCAGGATCCGAGTCGCGGTTAAGATGGCAGCATCCAGAAAAGATGAACTGGAGCCTGGACGGCCTGCGATCAGGGCACGACTCTTCTTTTATACGGAACGTACGGTACCATCTCCGAAAGCAATCCGAGGATGGCTTGGCACCAGGACTCTCTCTTCGTGGCTGACTTGGGCCCCAACATCACTGCAGCTTGTCTCACCTGAACAGTCAGAGAATTTGTTAGGTCGGCACGATGCGGGGTGAGGCTGAGGAGTGGAACCTATCAGAGAAGGCAGCTTAAGAACAACATCAGATCGACAAGGTCGCTGAGGGGTCCGCAAACCGTGTGGCAGGGTTTAGGACCTAAAAACAGTCTTGCGGAGTGCGAGCGGTCTCGATCTGTGAACCTTGATCTCACGGTATGTCCTGTATTCGGCCTTTGATATTCCAACGAGCATGCTGCTTGGTTTGGTGCACGCTATGCACGCTGCTGTGCCGAGGTTTATGAAGGTTTGGCATGAGGAGAGCTTCCTGGCTTACAAGCAACTTCTCTGACGTTTTGCTTGAGTTTGTTTTCAACGCGTGCAATGGTCTCACTGTTGACTCGTCAAGGTGCATGTGCAGTAGCTAGCCGGCCCGCCGTGGGGACTTTGATTACGGGTGCTTGTCACATCATCTACTCATCCGGCTTTCGAGCGGAGAATAGAGCCGAGGGCGCTGCGAAGTCCCTCAGGTGCTGCCCTTTCATCGACGTTTTCGAAGCGTGAGGTGAGGGAGGTTCTCCCAGCTGGTAGTTCGTATAGCTCTTCCCGGTTTGGTGAAGACGAGTTAACGACTTGTGCTGCTTTGCTGCGGCGCCGGAAGTGCAAATGCCTCGGTCGAACAGCGAAGCTGGTAACGGCCAAAGTCGGACGGGCCTTGACGGTCTTGCCTTGCTCAAAGTGGACGGCGCCACAGAAGCTTGCAGACAACCTTGTGCGTAGTGAGCTGCGGGAGCTCAAGAAAGGATCGCCCCTGTGGACGTTTGCACGGAGTCATGTCGAGTCGCTTCACTCAGTCTGGATGTCACCAATTTCTAGCTACGTCCTGTTGAGTCCTTTGATCTGAGCAGGACGTGAAGCCACGACCAAACAGAGCTTCGTGAAGGCATGAAGACGCTGGCCTTCATACGGTCTTGGGATCGGTCTTGGATGTGCGTCGGAGCCTCACGCTGCCCGCGTACCCGACATCAACCACTCCCGGAATGCGCAAGAAAGTGGCCAAGTAAGTTAGCCAATTAGCGTTGTTCCCCAGCATTATTTTCACAGTGAGCGCCGGGAGATAGCTCTGGCCAGTCGACTGAAAGAAGTTGCGGACGTGAACTCAAAGATCGCGGTCGCAAAGCGACCGTGTGGGTTGGTGGCCATGCCTCAAAGGTATCGGAGACAAGATGACCAGTAGATGGCTACAACATCCTGTTGCGGATGTGTGCAGCATTCTTCCCAGACAAGAGGGTGAAACATCACTCCCGTTCGCATCTTGTTTGATGCGTGTGCAGATATCTCTCAGAACTACCAAAATGCTTGAAAGGCTCAGTTGCAAGCAGTACTTGCACAATACGTTCATTAGTTTATTCATGACATTGGAAGCACAGGGCTCAGATTTACAAAGATCAAGTCGTTTTGTGAAGAGATTTGGCCGGGAGCATCTGTTCTGCCCTTAGCACAGGCAAAATATCGTTGGCCTCTTCTTCGAACAACCTGAGTTCGTTTGGGCATGCCGCAGCATAGCCGAAGCTGCGAGAAGCCTGACACTTCCTGTGGATGGAGTCTTTACACTTTACACCTTTTCTCTGGAGGTCAGGCTTTCACCAACAGTGGCATATGTCGAACAGTGGCATGTGTCGCTGGCTCGAAGGTGTTGTGACCACTTATGAAGTCGATGCTGTTAGTTTTTCTAGACCTACTTCATGAGAGTGCACAGCTCCAAGCGCTTACATTGTTTCCAAGACGATGAATCTTCTCCAAGCCAAGCTCGACACAGCCGTTAGGGACAGTCAGAGCACTCAGAGCACTCTTGCCAGCGCCTCCCCGGCGAAACTCCTTGGCAGCTCGGTAGCTGAAGTTCGAGCCTCAGAAAAACCCTCATGCTCTCGCTCACCCCTTGAGCTGGACAGCCTCGACCTACGGGAAAGTGCCTTTTTCTTTTCGGAAGGTTTGCGGTGTCCTGGACTTTTGGACAGGTTGGAGGCTGAAGAGTTTGTCTTGCAGGTGCGCAGGATGCAAAAATCCTTCGCAGACCTCATTGGTGACCCGGTGCCCCGTCCCTGACCGATCCATTCAGGACAGACATCAGCACTTCGTAAGGTTTGCTCTCCATGCAACCCCAAAAGGTCGGGAGTTTGGTGCCAGCACGTTGTTTATCTGTATGAGTTTGTGACTAGTTCGTGAATTTGCTTCTCATCAGAAACATACTATGCGTCGTCGTGGATTCTTCAGCTGCATCATCGCGGCTACTTGTAGGTTTCGTGGTACCAGGGCCTGCAGAACGGAGCAGGGTTGCCACAGACAGATATGCTCATGTTCCAGGGAGTTCGTCAGGACTGTCATTGGCACATTCAAAGTTCCTGGTAGACCCATTGAGGATGCTTTCCAGAGTCGTCCCTTCGTCAGTAGTCCGACGTCCATTTGCCATTGGACAAGGTCCGTGGCCTCGTGCTGTGCTGTGTGCACTGCGCGTAACAGCCAATAGTGTGCACTGGCTGCCAATCTGCCAGCCTGTCTGCCTGTTGATTTGCCTATCCGACTTGTTTATTCGTCAGATCATTTAGTCGCTCCCGTTCTCCTCTCACACACATCTCTCATACATACCTCTCGCACGATACGCACACAAACAAACACAAGCGTATCTGTATATATATATATATATATATACATATACACACGTACATACACGCACACACGCACACACGCACACACGCACACACGCACACACGCACACACGCACACAGGCATACACATACACCTACACGGATACACATACGCATGCACAGACTCTCACCCACCCACACAAACACACTCACTTGCAAACTCCCACGTAGGGGTAGCTAGCTATTTGTTACAGTTCTATCCTACCAGCTGCACACTCAAGTAAAGATGCAGGTACGCTGGGATGATCAGTCCCAGTATTTTGAAGTCATTTTAGCCGTTGGGCAGAGCTCTAAGGGCCTCCTCTGCGCCCCTGCTGAAAAAAGACCCTTGGCAACGAGGGGTTCGCACACACAGCTTCTCCTGTTAAGGAGCAGCTGGAAAAGGCTCGTGTATTTGGGGTCATCTTGATGGTTTGATGCCCGGCCATTGCTGGAAAAAGACCCTTGGCAACCAGGGCACACACACACAGCTACTCCTGTCAAGGAGTAGCTGGAAAAGGTCGTTATGATGGTTCGCAAGTCAAAGCCGCCGCCCCATCATGATGCCTTTATAGGGTTCATGATGACGGATCGCAGGTCAAAGCCGCAGCCTCGGCATGATGCCCGGATCTAAAATCGTCTGGGTAATGGTCCTGCCCCGTAGGTTGAGGCTTGGGTCCTGTCCTCATGTGCCGTCCTCTGGGATAAGGTTCTCGCCCCGTTGTGGCTTGGGTCCTGGCCTTCTGTCGTCGTCAGTAGTGAAGCAACACGAAAATGCCCATGCCGACCAAGATACAGATCAAGGTACGAATCAAGGTACAGATCAAGTTTGACTCGATCAACATACAGAGCAAGTTTGACTCGATCCAGGTACAGATCATGGTACGAATCAAGATGTAGATCAAGTTTGGCTCGAGCTGTCATCAGAAGAGTTGGAATCAGCAAGCCGAAGACAAGATTGCCAGCCAAAAGCTCACTTGACAATCAAGCGGCTACTCCCGGCCCTTTGACGGAACGCCGGTCGAAAGCATGCTTGTAAACTAGCTAGTTATTCGTTACAATCCTATTCATCCAGCTGCACACTCAAGTAAAATGCAGTTACCCTGGGATGATGAGTCCCGGTGTCCTGAGGTCACCGTAGAAAGCTTCGTTGGGCAGAGCTCGTGTCGTCGTTTGGGGTACGGGTCTCGCCCCGTTGAGGCTTGGGTCCTGGCGTCGTCAGTTGTGAAGCAATAATACGAAACAGCCGATGCCGACCAAGATACAGATCAAGGTGCGCAACAAGGTGCAGATCAAATTTGATTCGATCAAAGTAAAGATCATGGTGCGAATCAAGATGCAGATCGAGTTTGGCTCGAGCTGTCATCAGAAGAGTTGGAAACAAGAAGTCGAAGCTCACTTGACAATCAAGCGGCTACGCCCGGCCCTTTGAAAGAATGCCGGTCGAAGGCACAGGTTGCAAACTGTCCCGTTCTTCCAGCTGCACACTCAAGTAAAATGCAGTTAGACTGGGATGATGAGTCCCGGTGTCCTGAGGTCACCGTAGAAAGCTTCGTTGGGCAGAGCTCGTGTCGTCGTTTGGGGTACGGGTCTCGCCCCGTTGAGGCTTGGGTCCTGGCGTCGTCAGTTGTGAAGCAATAATACGAAACAGCCGATGCCGACCAGCCGATGCCGACCAAGATACAGATCAAGGTGCGCAACAAGGTGCAGATCAAATTTGATTCGATCAAGGTAGAGATCATGGTGCGAATCAAGATGCAGATCAAGTTTGGCTCGAGCTGTCATCAGAAGAGTTGGAAACAAGAAGTCGAGGCTCACTTGACAATCAAGCGGCTATGCCCGGCCCTTTGAAAGAATGCCGGTCGAGGGCACAGGTTGGAAACTGTCCTATTCTTCCAGCTGCACACTCAAGTAAAATGCAGTTAGACTGGGATGATGAGTCCCGGTATCCTGAGGTCACCGTAGAAAGCTTCGTTGGGCAGGCCTCCTCTTCCCCCCTGCTGAAAACGGCCCTTGGCAACCGGGCTCTCACACACCTCACATTCTCTTTCTCACTCACTCGTTCACTCGCTGGCTCCGCCCCTTCCCTTGTCCCCCCGCCCCTCTCTGCCGCGCTTAAATGGACCATACTTGTAGTAAGGCAAAGAACGTCCCCAGAGGAAAGTGTGCAGCTCATGCACCGAGGCTCCATGGGATGTTTGAAGAGGTCCGACTCTGGTTGTGAGATCGATTTCAGGAATTTGTTTCGGATTGAATGCAATTGTCCCAAAACGCCTTGCGAGCTATCTGCAGAGTGACATGTCTTGCAGGCCAGCCGCACCTGAAAACCCTCAATTTTGGCAGGATCGCGAGCAGACTCAGCAGCTTGTGCAGCCGATTGTTCCCCTTCCTGTATGACTGGTGCCACAAGCTGAACAGCCTTTTTCTTTTCATGGTCGTGCGTACCAGTGGGGTACAAGTAACGCACTTCAAGGCAAGTACCGGTGAGGGCAGGTCCCAAAAAAACTGACATCATGTCCCTTGTGACTAAGTCTCTTCTACTGCCCACAGCCGAAGCCGCGGCCGGCGTCTGAGCGCGCCGCAAGTCTGGCCTTGTGACCGGCTTTGCATGTTGGAGCCAGCTTGCAACTCTGTTCTTTCAGGTCTGAGTTCGAGACGGTTTACCAGGAGCTGGAAGCCAGATCACATGCTTGTGCATGCTGACACTGCTTCCCTGTGATGTGTTCAGACGTTTTCCATGTTTTGCCCTGGGAATAGACCTTGGTATCACTGGTGCTGGGACGGTGGAGGCAAGACTGGTGTGGGCTCGAAGTTTAGTTTTGCCAGAAGCTAATCACCTTGAGACAGGCGATCAATCAGCCTCTGGCCGGCCTTTCAGCACTCAGCATGCTTCCATGTCTGGTCGGGCAGGACAAAGTGGACGTGGAGCGCCAGATTCGCAAGCTCCGCCCTGCACTCGTGTTTGCAGTGTCTTGATCTTGCACTGCCAACACACTGCACCCAGCCGTATGACCTGCTGCGCGATTGATCCTTTTGTGGCTACATGCCATCTGCCTGTGTTTGTGATCATTGCGGGGATCGTGACCTGGCCAGGTTCATCGATCACGCGAAGGTGCGGGGGAAGCATGGCGAGCATGTCTTTCGGGCAAGAAGGTTCAGTGCCAGGTTGCGCATGAAGAAGCCCACTCCAATTTTGAACCGGTCAGCAGCAAGAGGGCTTCGGCTTTTGCCCTTCAGGCGGAATCTTGCACAACGCGCAGTGGCGAGTGCCACTTGGCCATTTCAGCTTCGTGAAACCGGTAATCATCACTTACGCTTGCTCTCTTCAGCAGAAGTCTCCACATGCAGGAGACTAAGGAGAAAGTAGAGCTGAGACCCATGGAGTTGAACTTTCATGGCTTTGAGCTTCTCGCAGTGAGCTGAGATAGAGACTTCGGGCACAAGCGTCTATGCCTGGGAGCGCGACTCCTAAGGGGGCAAGCGTCATGCCAGACCCTCAAGCCATCCTGCAACACTACGAGAAGGCACCGGGGACAGGCCAAAAAAATCAAAACGCATTCAAAAGATTGAAATTCGGACTGGCATGCAGTGCGACTTCGCGTCCCCAAGCCTGCCTACCATCCCCAATATCTTACTAGCTTGCTGACCAGACCTTGAACGCTGGAATTCTCCAGTTGCTTGCCCACTAGCCCAATAGCTTGCTTGAGAGAAACGCAGTTCAACCTTTGTAAACGTATTTTGTTTTTAATCCTTTGCAGTTGATATGTTGGATGCGGTGGCGCTTTTTGTTGATCCCTAAGCCCCCATAAGGTTCTTTCCCCCTCTCCACCTCTCGTTTTCTCGTTCTGTCTGATCAATGTTGTGAGCTTGATTGCGGGATGCACATCGTAAAGGACAGTTCATGTCCGTTTTGGGCACTTCGCATGTTCCGGTTGCGGGCTTTAGAGTTTGAGCGGTTCCGGGCAGGGAGTTAATTAGTGTTATCTTTCAGAACTCCGGATGTCCATTCCCTCGCATAGTTGAAGTGAGTGGAATCGCGATCAGTCCTCCAAGCTGAGGCAGATGCGAACACGACTACTCGTAGTATCAACAGTAGCAGTTGAGCATGCCAGGTACTCCTTGGCTTGGAGGCCAGGGAAGTGTGTCAGACCATGGCGCATGTGGAAGCTTGCACGACGAGATCACCCGATTGCCAGGAAAGACTGCTCGTTCTGAATGAGCACCTTGCGCGGTTGCAAGGCTCAGAATCTGCTGCAGTAGTACTCCACGATGGGCGGGAAAGCTTGAAAGTTTGAAAGCAGAAGCAGCACTAGACTTCGCCACCGGAATCCCCCGGAGGTGTTTAGACTGTCGAATTGCGGTATTGCAGGGTCTGTGCTTGTGATTGTTGGACCGGAGGGAAAATCCCGTGCCGCAGGCGACAAGTTCGTGCCTTGGGAGGCAGGTTCAGATTCCGGGTGTCTGGCTTTGCATCCTTCGCGGTGAGCCGCTTTCGAAATCATTTCTTCTGGCATTTGTGCGGACTCGGAGGCTGCAGAGCTGTTGACTGCGACACTAGATGTGCTTGAAGCTGCGGAGCTGTTGACTGCGGCACCAGATATCCTGAAGGACGCATGCCACGATACGCAAATCAAGTAGCTTTGGCGGGCGTCGACAGGGTTGTGGCGTCGTTGTTTTTGCCCGGCCTCGAACAGCTTTGCCTCGTCGTCTCTTCAGATTGGCCAGCTGTCTGAGTTTCAGGTGAGTGCCAGCTCTTCCCTTTCGACATCGCCGACGCTGTCAGGTGCAGGTTCGCAGTGAACATGAATCGAAAATCTTGAGCGCAGGAGGCGGAGGCTAAGGCACTCGGGTTTGAGACGAACATCTCTTTTGTTTTGTCACCTTGCTTGCAGGGCCCCGACCGAGCAGCCCAATGATGGTCTAGCCGGCGTTCTGCACAGCATGACTTCTTTTGTTTCATTGCTTTTTGCAGTAAGTCTTAGGTTTGGATTGAGGGTCGGATAAGGGAAGTTGATGCAGACACGCAGGTGTGCACACTCCCATTTTTTCAGTTTGGAGCATGTGAGGGATGGTTGTCTTCAGCGAGACCCACTCCTCTGAATCTGTTTAAAGTACAGGCCAAAGCACGGTCTGAAAAACCCAAGATTGGGAGTGGGGCGTCGCCAAAGACAGAATTTGCATTCTCCGAGTGCCTGCTGTCTCTTTTGAGAGCGCTACAAATCGGAGCCGCTCTTCATCGAGAGAGTCGGAGACTTTCCGAGTTGGTTTGAGGCCGCTCAAACGGTGTAGTGGACTCTCCATTTTGGACTGCTTCGTGCAGCGCAAATCTACAAACATCTTTGAAAACTCGATCCTCACGAGGTGTTACATCCTGGCATCCTGGATGATTTTTGAGCTGCCACTTGCAGCGTGCAAGAAGCGTGTCGCCTCGTGACCAACCCATGAAAAGGCGCGGCTAACGCGTGCCAAGCATTTTGTAAAGCAAAGAGGGGTGTCAGAGCATTCATTGAAACCTACGTCTCAACGAATCGACGAGCTCCGTGTCTTGGACTCCTGTACCGAAATGCCGAGACCCCAAAACCTGTGTACAGCAATGTCGCAGTGCGGGATAGTGCAGGTGCCTGGTCCGTTCAACATCGCAACAGCTGCGCTGTTCCAGGAGCCAGGAGTGGCATTGCTCCAGGCAGTTCTGGACTAGCTGTTGCGAATCTGAACTGTGAAATGCCATGCTTGCATCCAACGTTGCCTAACGTATGCGGCATGCTTGTTCCCACACGAAAGACGAAAGCGAGACTCGAAGAGCTACTTTGTGTTTCAGAGCTGGGACCGGCGCTTTGGCAAAGCGAGGCCTTTCGACCCGTGCTGCAGGCACAGCAAAGGCACTGCCGAACACCGGCTGAAAAGGGATGAGCTGCGGCTCCGGGGTTACGCCGCCGCGTCTTTCAGGTTCGAGATGCCTTGAGACCTTTTTCCCATGGGCAAAGGGGAAGTGACCGCAGACGGCGAACTATCCGAAGGCTGACAGTGCCGGTAGAGACCTTAGAGGCTCTGGAAGTTGGACCTCTTGGAGCCCAAGAGAGGTTGACCCTAGTTAGCAAAATTCTTCGAGAAGGTCCAATCTCCCGAAAGATGTAGAGCTTGCATGCAGCGGTCTGAGAACCTGGGGCTTTGCGGTGTGAGAGTGCTTCTATGTTTTCCATGACGCCTCAGGTCGCCCCAATCGAGCTCAAAAGGTGTCCGTGGCTTCTCAACACAGGATGTCGATCGCATTGTTCCTGGCACCAGACGGGAGCGTGACTCCAAGTGCCTATGTTATAGATTCCGCTGTCTCCCTCCGAGTCTGGCAAGCATTTGATGAAGCCGGCACGCTTGCGATCTCGGCTTCCAGGCAGCACCACGAGCAGCAAGAGCCCAGCATCAGTTTGCGTCATTCGGTTTGGGGAATACACAGCATCAGTTGGCTGCAGGTCTTATCCTTACTTCAGCATTTCGGGCTCCCCAGAACACCCCATGTACGCCCTACCGGCTGAAGCTTAGACAAGCAAACCCAACTCCAAACAGAACGGCATTGATGCACTGATTATTACCTGCGGCTACGAGCAACTTTTCAAGCTCAGACAGAGCCCATGTGGACTGATGAACTCACGAGGCATCTGCACACAGCATTCAGTGTTTCAGTTGCTGCAGGATGTCCGATTCCTGAGAAACTCCTGACGCTGTAAGTGGTTGAGTGCAAGTGAAGGCGCTATGCGGCAGCCGATGTGTGCGAAGGCTGTCCTCTGAGTGGGCTCTTCCCACAAAAGCATGAATACATATGCTTCAACTATCGTACACGCCCTTTGCCCATTTTGTCCAAGATTTGATACTGTCGCCAGGCTCAGGCGGGAAGCAGTCAGTACTCCGACCGTCCGCGGAAGGGTCAACGCTGCTGCTGCGAGCAGCCGCATCCTGACGGGAGAATTTGACCGCTGGCAGCCAGATTTGCAGAGCGTATTTGCAAGCTGCAGGTTTTCAATTTTTCAGTGATCGGTGCGGCGCCCAGGCGGCGTGCCTGCGCACGGAGGCGATCGATGAAGGCCTTCGCCTGGCAGAAAGGCGTGGCCGACAAGGATTGTCCATGATGATCCAGTAAGGGTGTTGCTGGTGTTGCGGTCCATGTTGGAATTGGACCCGCGTGCTTCCGGAGTCTATCGCAGGTCTCTTTCTGTTTTTCGGCAATGCGGCGATTCACGTGGGTCGCTTCCTGACCCCTCTTGCAGTCACATTGCCACGTTCGCTTTGACTACGACTAAGAGGCTTCGACTAAGAGCCTCTGCGAGCGGTCGTTGCGAAATAGATATCCACGATCACTTGTGACAGTCTTGTGTCCGTCACGGAGCTCCAAGGCTGGCAGATGCAGCACGTCTCGTCTCCTGCGCGATGATTCACCAGGCCCTCGTCTGCCACGAGCACGACCACTGGAGCAAATCGTGCAATTTCGAACATCGTACTGTTACTGTTACTGCTCTGAGACAACCCGGTCCCCGGAGTCAAATCCCGTGCGATGGTCGCATGCTGGCTATGAGACATATGCTTCCCGCTTCCGAAGTCTTCCGAACTCGTTCTGCGCTGCAGGGGCTTGTCAGTTCGCCGCAGGGAGAAGAAATTTCCGAGTCGACTGCCAATGACTGCCAGACTGTCGTATACGTCATAGCGGACCCAAGGCGTATCAAGACGTGCCAGTTGCATCACTCCGTCCCTTTTCAGGACCGCCGAAAAGAGGCCGACCGCCTTCTGCGCGACGAGCCGGGGCCCTACGAGAGAGACAGAGCACAGCAACCGAGACAGGAGTGGTCGAAACCAACGTGACCATGTCTCGGCTAAGGTTGGCTGTGTTCCAGACTTCCGCCAGATACACGTCGAAGTCTGCCGAGGAGCGTCTTCACCCTAGGTGCGTAGACTCTCTGAGCTTCCCTCCCTGTGCCACTCTGTACGACCTAAGGAGTCGTTGCATCAAGCAGCGTTTGCATGCAGATTTGCTGACTGTGTTGCGATGAATGACAGGCGCGCATCTTGCAAGCCATGGCAGACGTTAGCTCGGACAGGTCGGGCTGCATACGTTGACTTGTTCAGGCCTGCATGGCATGGTGCAAGGTCGCATGGACGCTGTATACATTGCATTAAGCATCTGATACGTTGGCTTGGAGCCTGCGCAGCTCTAGCATCTAGCCACCCATCGGGGTGCAGCCAGGCGTGGTCAGAAGAAGCGCGAGGAGGCATTGAAAGCCGCCAGAGCCTGGGAGTTGGTACGCGCGAGAAAAAGCATGAGTTTTCGGATAACAAGGCGGGTCAAGCCCGAGATCTTGCTGTCGACGAGGCCGACAAAGGCACCGGTTCCCTTCAAAGCAGCTTCAGCCAGTGGACAAAGCTGCCGCTTCAATGCTTCGAAGTGACGGTTAAATGCCACGCCTTTGTGCGGAAGGTCTGGAGGCTTCAACTCTGGCGGTCATGGCCCAGTCACTCAGGGCACCTCAGGTAGCGTGATCCGTGAGTGGCCACAAGCTCCTGACTCTGATCCGGCGATCTCCGGCGCTCGCTTGATCGCCTTGTGCGGGCAGACCCGTGCGCTTCAGTCTGAGACTTCGACGCCCAAGGCGAAGATATTCATCAAGTTCAAGGGTGTCATAGACTGAGCTTCTGCGTGGGAGCAATGCGAGCTAGAAACGACGATAATTCCCAGAATGACCAGCATGAAGACTGTCACGGAGTTGAAGCCTGCGATGCAGAATGTGGTCACTGTACATAAGGATCGCAGGGCATGCGACAAAGAAGGACATCGCCTGGCGACAAAGGCCAGGGAACGTTAAGACCGTTGGATTCTGCAAGCAAAACGCGAAAGCCACACTGCCGCAATCCAGCGCAGCAACACAACGGCTGGCAAGAGCCGGGCCCTGTCCCGTTGGAGTCCACGAGTGTTGCGCCGGCTCTGTGCAACCGAGAGAACTAGGACAACTAGGATGCAATTTCAGAGGCCTTGGAACTCTTCCGCGAGACGCAGGACGTGCCGCGAGCTTGTGAGCCGGCGAAATAGGGCGTGGAATGCTTGGACCGTCTCGAAATACCGAGGCGTGGGCAAGCCGTTGCTGCGCTTTGAACTGAGCATCCCCACCTGATGTGCGCATTTGTCACAGTAGTGGCACACTCCTATGATCGTCGTACCCGGCAGGCAGCACTCAGCCGTCGCTCAGTGCAATCTCCAAGAGTTTGTGCCAGCACTGCAGCTCCTTGTCTGAAAGCTTATTTGCACTGTGCGTGCCTTCTGCTTTGAGAGGGAGGCGCTTGGTCGAGGATGACCTGACGTTTGCTCAGGTCGCTCCAGGCAGCTATCGGCTTTTGGAAGCAGAGTGAGGACGGCTTGCGACCCATTGTTCAAGCCTCCTCTGGTGCTGACAGTCGAAGGATGCCATGCACGAAGCGCACTGCCTGGTCATGATGGCAGAGTTGCTCGACTTCCAAATCTCTGCTGTCCGGGTGTATCGAAGCTTGAGAGCTCTCCCTCCAGCGTAAATGCCAACCAAAGGTGGCTCTTGCACTGGAATCAGCCCACGAGGGCCGGGCCAGCCGCCGACCAGGTTGGAGTTGAAGAGAGAGACACAGAGAGAGAGAGAGAGAGAGAGAAAGAGGCAGTTTTTCGGTTTAGAAATTCGGTGTTTCTTTCCCGGCAATCTCGAGTTGTTTGAATCAAGGGTTCAAGGATTTCGTGGTTTCGGGCTGAGGGTTTTGGGTGCGTGCACTCTTCCTCGTCGACTTGCGGGTGTCAGCGACATAGGTTTATTTAAGGGTTCAAACATGTTCAAACAACATCGGCATCTGTCAGTCTCCAAGTCGCGGCGCTGGATCCCGAAGTAATACAATCAAGGCGGGTGGGGGAGATTGGGGGAGGGCGGGCTGGCCAAGGATCCTCGAAAAATCGCTGGAACCACCGCACCGCTAAGAACATCGCAAACTGGCCCCGTGCCATTTTTGACGTCCCCCGGGTGAGGAAAGGGTGTTGTTGGCGCCAGAGAGCAAGCGCTGCGTGTGTGCGTGGCCTCCCCCAGAAAGAGTGACCCGATCAAGAATGCACCTCGCAAGGCATTGGCTCTGTACAACAGCCACGGCATCGGCGGGCAGCGTGCGACGAAAGCATTGCAGTTGGCCGTCGGCGGCCAAATGCAGAGTGACTGCGAGCGGTTGCAGGATATCACTTCTCAAAGATCTTCACACTCCCGCGGAGGTCCGAGCCCAGATCAGCAACGGCGAGCCCTGGCGTGCGATCTGGACGTCAGAAGATGTTGCTTGGATCGAAACAGTGATGTCGCAAGGCTGTCCTCAAACTGCGTTGGCTGCTCGCCTAGGCCGTGGCACGGTCTCGTGAGAAGAAGGATCAGCGCGGCGAGGCCCATGGGAGTTTGACGGGTTGTTTTGAAACAGGGGGGTAGCATTGAAGCAGGTGCAGGTACATTTTTCAAATCGATCTTCAAGAGTCATTGCTGCCAAGGTGGCTTGTTTGAATCAGGGTAGTTTCAATTCAACAGTCATTTCGAATCAAGCGTTCTTCAAAGCAGGGGTAGTTTTTCAAACCAGCATCGCGCGGATCGAACGGCTGGCTCAGGCCAATGGCCGATTGACGCAAAGTAGAATTTAAGGCCACGTTTGGTTTCAAATGAGGGCCGTTTTACTTCGAGGGTCGTTTCGGAGAAAGAGCGGACGGTGGCTTGTGTCACACGGGTCGCTCTTAACAGGGTCGTTTATAGTTTATAGAAAAGCTTCCTCAACACAAAGGTTGACAAGTGTCGGTCAAGGAAAGGACTGCCTCAAAGCAAGTGTCCTTTCAAGACAGGGGGTTGCTTTAAAGGAAGGTAGGGGGTTACTTTAAAGGAAGGTTTTTCAAACAAAAGGGTAGCTTGCGCATTGAAGCAAGGGTTGTTTCAGAGCGGGTGTTGTTCTGCGGCCATGACGGTTTTGACCCGGCGGTCGTTTCTGAAAAAGGGGCTTCAAGACTATCACACGGTTGAATGGTAACTTGAACAAACGGAGTCGTCTAGAAGGGAATGGTTTTGGAACCAAGGTTCTTGTGCAAACGCGCTCTTTTATTTTCAGGGTTTTAAACCAGGTTCGTGTCCAGGCAGATGTGTTCTGACACGGCAGCTGCTTTCCATCGTCTTTTGAGACGTCCGGGGTTAGTGGAAGACGATGGTAGTGTCAACAAGCATAGTTTCAAGACGGAGATGGAAAGGTGTACGGATGAGCGAACATCGAAAAGTATCAACAACAAGCGCAACAAAGTGTCAATAACCCATAACATTGGACATAGGATCAAGAAAAATATTTCCAAATACAAGGCACGCCTGGCTTCCTGCCTCCCCGCATGTTGGCTCTGTGGCTTCCTTGCTTTTGGGCGGGCTTGTTGGCCTTTAGCTTCTGCGGTTTCCAGGCTTCTAGACCGGCGACATACGGCTTGCATGGCTTCCTGAGATGTCGGCATCTTGACTTCTGGCTTCTGTGGCTGCGTGGCTCGGCCAGCGGCTCTTGACTCGTCTGGCTTCCTGGCTTCTCAGGATATGTGTGTTGTGTTTTTGGTGCTGTGTGTCTGAATTTGCATTGTCGTCGCATTTGGTTGACTCTGCACTGTTTGAGCATGCATGATTGTCTGTCTCGTTCTAGTTATGCGTTTGTTGCTTGTGCAGAATTCGGAACCAATTTAGGATTTGTGTTTTCTCTTGTGCAAGTACCACCACCTCTACCACTAACCGCTAACACCATCACCAGCACCTTCACCACTGTTGCTACTACAATTAGCATTACTTCAAATTTGGTATTTTCATCATTGCAGTTAAACGTGGTAATTAGAGCAGACCTTGCCATCCCGGTGACAGCCAGGATTGGGGAGATCCAATTTTGTTAGATCCTTCTGTTGTATGCCGGATCCGTGGTTTCGTGTTCTTGATCTGTGTTGGTGCAGCGGCCCTTGTTCCAAGACAACCCATGCCTTGCAAAGACCATTGCTTTCAATCAGCCCTGGGTTTGAAACGACCCCGGTATGCTGTGCCGGGGCTCTACAGTCTCATAGTTGGGGCGCAGAGATGGGTCGTGTGTCACGTTTCTGCTGTAAGCGAGACTGGACAGCCCTGTTGCAGGCAAAAGCCCTGCTATGCCTGGTAACGAGCTGAGGATGCTAGATCACCATGTAGTGGGCCCTGTTCCCATGATTTGCTGCCGGACCGGTCGCTGCTGAGGCTGAAGGTTACACCTGTTCGCCATCAGGCCGTGAGCAGCAAGAGGCGGAGTGCCCATGAGTGCAGTTTACGGTGAGAATTGGAGGAGAATAAAAGTTACTGCCCGAAGGTTTTGCAGGCAGAATCGAAGTCATATTCAGACTTGCAGCATCTCAATTTCTACCGCCAGACGTGGCAATGAACGCTGCAGTCTCTTGCCAGCAGGCGCCTGCCAACGCAGCTGGAAGACCTCCACCCGAGGCCTTTCATTGCTCGATTAGAGCAGTCAGAAAGGCGCCAGTTTCGATCGGGGCCACCACACTCTTGCCAGGACGCTGTCGCCGCCATGCAGAAAGCCTTGCAAATAGCAAACGGGTCTGCGCCCGATTAAAGAGATGCAGCAGCAAGTTTTGACTGGATGCACGGAGAGCCTCCCATTGAGCCTCAACTCTGAGAGATTTGTTTCTAAATAGCCACATGTTTCGGGTGCCCGGGCTTTTTCTGACGTCTTTGCGTGGTGTCCAGGCTTTGTTAGAGCTGGGTTTGCCGTTTGGGATTATGCGGTGCTATTCGCGGCCAAGATTTGGAAGCAAACGTTTGTTGCGGAAGAATCGAGAACCAAGCAGAGCCGGTTGGTCCGCAAGGCTGAACGACGAAACCCTGGAAGCCGAGGCACAGTGCTGGTTCCTAGGGTGTTGCCATGCTGAAACATTCGTCATACAGGTCATGACAAAGCTCTCCTCAATGCACGTGAAGCCCGGCACCCCAATGCATGGCCTTCTGTGCCCGAAGACTCACATCACGCATTCTGCAGATGAGACACAAACCATCCACTCCCAAGGCGCATAGAGATGGAAGAAGCCATCTTCGCTGCACATGACGCATTGAGTCATCGCGATGCGTGGCTCTTATTCACCATGCTGCAACGTGTGTTGCCTCTTCAGCTCCTGTCGAAGGTTTCTTGTACTGTCTTTGGGATTGCTACCTCCCATGTGTTTGCACGTGGCGAATGCCTGGCTGACAATCATGTACAAGACCCACCGTGACTTTCCGAGGTAAAGGATCCTGTTGGCAAGGCAACGATTGGAACGGGACGGGCAAGAAGGAAGCCTAAGAGAGCTAATTCAGGCTAGGGGCATGCCGCGAGGGCCTAGCCTTTCTGGCCCTTGGTCGTGTATCACGTCAACAGCGCAATTTCGTGGCTTGTCGAGCGCGGTGTCGTGGTATTCCTGCGGAAGCTAGGCTGTCCTTGGCTACGTCACCTTGACAGTTGGAGATAGTTTCAAACTGTGTGTTTCAGGGCAGGGCCGCTGTGTCGAGCCAGAGGTCTCCGGATTCCCAGGAGATGTAATTGTCGTCATGAAGCCAGAGCGCGCGGCTGCAAGTGTTCGCATTGCAAGGGGTGAGGAACTGTCCAGCCAGGGCCAAGCGTTTCAAAGCCTGGCTGCGGCACACCTGCACAACAAGGACCACAGCCAATCGAGCCTCTTGCACTGAAGAGCCCAAGACACTAAACAATGCCCATCGTTGTTGCGGAGGGTGCGCGTACTTGCCGGTCATGTCCCAAGTTGGAAGCCAGCCTCATACGCTGCACGGACTAGGATTTTGCCACAGCTGAGCGAGCAGCGCGAGCAGCCCGGGACATCTGTCGGTTGCTCAGTTGGGCGTAGGCATAGACTTCGCATCGATGAGTGCCGGAGTTTTGCGCAGTGCCGGTATTCAAATGACACAGCACCAGCACGGAATCGTCAGGTCGCAAAGACGGACGTTGGCAAGGTGATGCTGCAGGCGTCATGTCCATGGCGGAGGTGCTCCTCGCCACGGCCCAAGGGCAATGGAAGAGTAGCATGCCTTTTGGGTTTGTTTTGATGTTACAGCTCCAGAGTAGTACGTATTGGGGGAAGCGGCAGTAATTCTGTGGCTTTACAGCAACTGCATGAAGTTCCGTTTCCAAGGCAGAGCAGAAAATTGATGATGCAGTCGACCTAGCTAAAGAGGCGCAGTCGCTATACAGTGAGCCGACGCCTCAGCCAAACGAGTTTTGCTGATAGTTTGTTGTCGTGACGTCAGAATGAGGCATCATGACCGCCGTGGCGAGGGAAAAGCTCTGATCTTTGCTCCGGGACCCAGGGCATGCAACCTGTCATATTTCTGCTTGCTAGATGTCGCTAGAACGGACATGTCTAAAGAAGCACCAAAATGTGTTTTTGCAGTTCTTTGCATGTAATGCAGTTGGAATTTGCCGAAATTGCATATCCGGACCTTTGTCTGCTGAATTTCTGCGTGTAATGGAGCTCGGGTCGCAGGCAAACTTGCAGCTGGGTTTAAAATCCAGTAAGCATCCGAATTAGACAGCTACGCTTTCCTGCAAGTTGCACCCGATGTTGGCCCTCTGTCTGGCACCCTACGAACACGGTCCTTCTGCATCTCGAAGCTGCTTAACGCGAGAGTTCAATGCAAGTGCAAACCTAGTGAAAAGGATATCAGAGGTATTCGCTACAGCTACGAGCGAGTGCATGGAACGTCAATTGCTTCAGAGGTTGCGAAAGCCAGAATGTCAAGCGAGGAGTACGAAAAGGCTTGGGCCAGGGTGCTGAGGGCTGCGGGTTATGCTCTCCCTGCAAGTTCCGACGATGTTAATTTGTCAGCGGAGCACATAGCTAGAGCCTCCAAGAACTCCAGGCGTGCTTTGCCGCAGAGCGGGCTCACGAGCTGCTAGGCGCCCAGAGAGGCAACAGCCATGTGTGCAGCAATCTCAGCCCCACCCGAAAAACTGGAAATGCCCCAAGGCCTGCTTTGCACGATGTACGAATGCGATGCCAGAGTGCCCAGGTTCGCTCGCCTTCGAGATGACGAGGGCAAGTGTGAAGCTCTCGTGCTTGCAGCCAAGGGCTCGGAGCCTCGAGCCTCGCTGCCGAGACACACTCCCACTTCGCTTCCCGCTGCGCTTGCGACGCTTGCGAAGCGCGAAGAGATGCAAAGCGATATGCGGCAGTGGTGGGACCGGCGGCCGGAAGGAGAGTTGCGTTCCCACAAAGCAAATGCTGTGACACCGTGCACTGTACTCGTGCTGTTCAGGAATGCGACGTTGTGCTAAGCAGTGTGCATCCACTGAGGCGCAGTGTCGCATTCAGCTTCTGCAGAGACAGCAGAAGCAAAGCACGGAGCCTGGCATGTGGTGGAATGGAGCATGTCGCGCAAGACCGTTCTCCCAAGGCTCTGCGAAGCTGAAGGGTAAAAAGGCATTCCTGAAAGCGCCTTTGCCATGGGAGGCCAGGCAACCAGAGGACCTCGTGAGTTTCGCCCGGGCTCTGACCTGGTCGCCAGGATCTTTCCAAAGCATCGAAAGCTTCAACCCAGGCCGGGCAAGAGCTGTTCGTCTGGAAGGCAATGATGATCTCCTCAGCTTCTAGGCTGCCGAGACACTCCCATAACAGCACCATGCCAGATAAGATCTAAGTGACACTTACGATTCTCCGCGGACAAGGCCTTCAGACGGATTCTTGCATCTCCCCAAGCAGAGGGTTGATCTAAGTCGTAGGGTCCATGCCTCTTGTTTTTGGCACCGTGTGGGCGAAAGTCCCGAGATGGATACCCCGCGAAATCCCGCGAAAGTCATTAGGAAGCAGACTTGGGACATGCAGTACTACGACGTTACGACAAGGTGTACATTTATGTGCGCCAGTGTAATGCAGAAGAATACTAACAAGATGTTAGGTTTCTAGCTCTTTCTTCCATGGCCCTCGGCTCAAGTCTTTTGTACGGAACGTACTGTTGTCTCGTCAAAGTATCGTATCAAGATGCTGTTGCCTACATTGCCTACATGCGGCCGCTTAGGGCATCCTAGTCGCCAGGCCAGGGAGGCGGCCAAGAAACTTGGGGATTCCAAAGCCGAAGCGCCACGAACCTCAGCATCCGGAGCCTGAATTTGCCACGAGAGGATGTCAACTTGTTCGGAGGACCTCCCTGCGATTTTAAGTTTCGCTGAGGGCCGCACTCTGTGCCCTCGCCCAGATTTACATCTTCAACGGCTTTGGGCTCGGCACATTCGCACAAATTCCTTGCAACGTCTCTGTTCTTCCATGTCGGACAGGCTCATGCGGTGTGGGAACCCAATGCACGTGTCACAACCAGGTAGACCTCAGACCGAGATCTTCAACACTTTAGACGAGGCCTTGTTCGTTGCAGCTGAGGCGCGCGTTGGGACAGGTGCTTTCGGGATGAGGCCTGTTTAGGGAGCCTTGACAAGGCTGAGGACCCAAAGAGCGAGGGCACTGCCCTGCTGCTTCAAGCGCAGATGCACCTCGAGGCCAAAGCCGCCGTGTGACTCGTGCACAGTTTAGCTAGAGTATGTTAGAGTCGTACAGTGCCTCCGAGAGAGCATAGAAGAGCTTGCTGCTCTATACTGTAAGACTTCTTGCTTCACGGCGCTGGAAGCTTGCAGCAGTGGCAGAACACGCACTGCAAGAGCATGCTGCTCGGCTTACAAGTGCTTGTTGGCAAGCTGCCTCCCCTATGAATTTCTTGTGCCTACGCTTCAGGTGTGAAGAATGGCGTGCTGATTCCAATGTGCCACGTGCGCTCTGTCGTAAATCCTTCAAGTCGCTGTCAGCCGGACTACGACAACAGCAGCATTGCACAGAAGGGCAGTCTGCTATGTTCAGCCCGAGCAAGTGACGTCGAAGCTCCATCAGCATCCAGACAACACATAGATTCATAGATGAAAGCACTAAAGAGGCATCATGAGGTTGACTGTCTCGCAATACAAGGGCCGTCGCAGGGGCCGTTCGCTTTTCATTTGCAGTTCTGGTGTTTGACGAGCCGCGAGGCATCCGAATTGCAAAGTGCGCTGAAAGCTGCGAGGCACCGTTTGTGTTTGAAAGGTGGTTCAGGCTCCTAGTCCTTCTGTGTATTTCTAGCATATGAGCACAGAGCCTGCGAGAAAGGCAGTAGCAGTCTGTAGGCAAGCCCAGCTCATCGTCGACAAAAGCGGCGATGCAGCACAGAAGTCGCAAGTAGTGGCGGCCTTGGCTTGAGCAGACCAGCCTCATCATGTTGAAGTCACAGATTCAATCAGCTTGAGCTTCGTAGTATAGGCCATCGTTGCAGTTTCTCTGCGTGCCAGAAAAGCTAACGTCTGTCGGCCCGGGGACGCAAGTGTGGCGTAGTTTAGTTATGCGTATAGATCGAGGAATCGATCCTTGATCAATTGCGCGGGCACGAGTTCCGCGTCGACGAGGCATTGGCAGCAGCCCGACCTCAAGTCACTGGTGCTTGCAACTAGCGCGACTAGCAGACTGGCAGCGAATCTTCCGCACCGAATCCGTTCCTTTGTGTTGCTTCGAATGTCGAGCTAACAAGCTGCACCGGCGGTGGTGTCGACCAGCACTTGAGAAATTGTCGCCAGAGAGCAATGGCAGCAGCATGCAGCAGCCAAAGGGCAGTGAACACTGAATTTGCCTCATTTGAAGTGCTACAGACTTGCGCCAGATGTGAACTTACCAGATTTATCTTCAGCTGCGTAGCACTCTGGTTGCCGCCAGGCACCTCGAATCGACCCTCGAATGGTCGTGAGAGCCTCAGTGTTAAGCTAAGTACCTGCGGTGGAAAGATTGCAGGGTCATCATTCGCAATGCATGTTCTCATCTAGCTTCATAAGCTGTGTGCCAGGTAGGTCAGATGGCGCTGCCAATGGTGTGCAGACCCCAATAAAGTGCATGTGGTGCTTCGAACCTCATGGCACGGGCCATAGGCACGGCATGAGTTCAGGTCGGGCCCAGATCCGGCGGCGGTTCGTGCAACGATCCAGGAGGCTATCGGCAGAGTCTTGATGGCAACCGGCTCTCAGAGACAGCTTGGGGAATCAAGAGCTTCAACGTTGATTTTATGTGGAAGGTGACAAAAAAGATGGTGGGCAGCGGCAACGACATCGAAGCTGATATGCCCCTTATGGACATAGGCATGGAGCTCCTTCGCACTCTGAGGTGTGGCAGTCACACCCCTGAACGCCAGGAATCAACAGCATGAATGCCGTGCTCTTTCGCAACAAGCTCATCACCGAGTTCAAGGAGACCGGAATCCCCTGTGCGACGGGGCCTTCGCTGAGTCGATGGCAGGATGTGGAGCTGCCGACAACGCTTGTGCGTGCCTAATGGGATTACTCGTTTCATCGTGCGACACACACTAGCCTCCCGGTCTCCTGTGAATGCCCGCATTACAGCCAGCAGTCCGCTTGTGTGTTCAGGTCTTCGACTATCCCACGGTCAAAACCTTGCTGTCGTCTCAGATATTTCGCAATCACTGCCGGCAGCCGTGCACTTCCCGTACATTGTCGAACGGCAATTTACAAAAACCCTCCTCATCGACCTCATACTGTAGGCGGGTACCAATCATGCCTTTGGCTGTCAACTCTCGCAAGCCGCGCCCAGAAACCAAATCGCGCAAAATTCCGGCCCCAGCTTTGCCGCAAGTGCGGAGACCCTTGCTTTGGGAGTCTCTTTCCCCGGGTGGCTCAGGGCAGCCGCATGTAAAGCTCCATCGCCCTCCCTCGTGCCCGCGCATGAAGGGCTGCCGTCACTTCCGACAACCCCATGTCCAGTAGTCGAGTACTTCGTTCACTCCAGGTCAGGACTGGTGGTCGAGCAGGTCACCCAAGCTGCGACGGCCGGGCCTCCATCATTCCGATTGTACTTGTGACGCTGATGTCTGTGCTGTGAGTGTTGGCCTTGAGGCAGCTCAGCAGCAAGCCATGGCAGCCGCGATGCCGATGATGGCGATGCCGGGTTCGGGGCAGCATAGCGGCATAGCAGCTCAGAGAGGCGTAGAGAGAGGCGTGCTCTGCCAAGGTACCCTGTGATACCGCAGCCAGGCCGGTGCTTCCTCGCCACACGTAGCGGCGTAGCGCAATCCCATGTGGGCGTAGCACTTGCAGCTGCTTGCAGCTTGCGCGTGCTGCTCCGCCAGGTGTGACTCCCATCGAAGTTGCCTCAAAGATTCAAGAGGCAGATGCGCTCCATGTGCCATGCACATGCCTTGAGAGACTTGATGCAAAGATGAATCATGTTCCATCTCCATCTTTTTGAACAGCCGGCATCCTTGAAAATTGCTTGAAGCTGTGCAGATACGAGCAGGTTACCAAAGGAATGGTGGGAAGCGACCGCGACATTGCTACCTGGCTGTGCAGGTCTTTCTTGTCCCGAGTCGCATGTGTGTCCACCTTGAAACTCTCTGATACACATTCAGGGGGCAGTGGATGAACCCGTCTTAGAATCGAAGGTATTGCAAAGGGCCCCTTTGGTTGTCGGATTGCTTTGCCCATGAATTCAGCGGCAGCAACAAGCATCTTCAACGTTGTGACTGTCAGAGTCAAACCAAGAGAAACTTGAAACACCCCCAGGATGCGGACATGCCGTTGATGGACATAGGCGGGGTAGTTCAAAGGGGATGCTGGAAGGACGAGGTGCGACGTAAATAGGCTTCGATTTGCATCTCATTGCGACAACAATTTGCCGTGGTTGCATGCTGGAGGCATAGACAAACGTGGCTTGAGGTGGTGAACCACGAAATCTGAGAAGTTATTCTGCGGGCACCTTTGTATGGATGCTCCACGCGCACAGCATGTTGGATGCATCCAATACTCAGACTCGGCATTTAGTCCACAGTTTGCTCCCGTCAGTCTTCGCTCACTTGCTCGACCTTTCTTTACCCCGAGCAGAAATCCATGTATTTGCCTGCTAGCGCGGCTTGGACTTAGGGATTTCCCAATCTCGCAAGACTGTCCAACTCCAGTGAGCATCGCAGCATTTCAACTTCTCGGCAACTCGGGTGATACCATCTTCAGTCTACTGCAGCATGAGTAGTCTCCCGTATCTTGAACTTGCAGCTGCATTGACAGAAATGTGTGCTGCATGAAGCACTCCCTCCTGATTCTGCAGGCATCAACAGCATGAACGCAGTGCTGTGCCTTACCTGCAAAGTAAGGAATATGCGATATGATGATCGGCTGCAACACTCAGTGACATGTCTTGCCGGTCTAGCTTGCTGGCTCACAAGCAGCAGCAGGTTTGCAACAGGTGTGAGTAGCGCTCGTTCGCATGGACGTTTTGACAGTCGGTAGCCAGGGTTTCACGTTTGCAGCTGTGTCTGTCCCACGACACACTCGCGAACTTTTAACGTCCTTGACCCAGTTTCGCGAGGTTCCGCAACAAGCTCGGAAGCGCCTTTGAAGGTGTGGAGCTGCCAAACACACTGGCCGGCGGCTTGGTTTCTGGCGCACTTGCGTGTGAGATGCGTGGGTTACTCGTTCAAGTCAGGTTCATACCCTACGAAGTATCAGGGCATTTGCTCGCGAGAGCCCTTTGTTTTCCTGACGGCAGAGAAGTTCGGGGCTGTTGGGGGATTGGATGCCTTGACAGGTCGACCACCGGAAGTTCAGATTCACTGCAGAGTCAGAGTGCAGCGAACAATTCCTTGTCTTTGTGTGGAGAGCCCTTGCTTTGAGAGCTGCGGGTCACTAGCAGATACTACGCAATCTAACACCTGCCGGGGTGACATGAAGTTTCAATCTCGTGACTCTTGGCCTCAGTCACATCGCACTGCTTCTGTTTTGACCTCTGAGGTGTTCGATCATCCAACGGTCAAGGACTTGTCCGAGCTTCTGATGCAACTGACGGCCGGCTAGCAGCCCTCACCCCGAACAAGAGGGGTGATCGCCCGACCTTCGAGCATCGTTCCAGACGCGACAGCGGACCACCATGCATTGAGTCCTGGAGTAGTAGCATGCAGCCTGACGTATCTTCTTCGTGAAGGCATGCTGTCGGTGTGCCGGGAAAACAAAGCGGACTCCGTCTGGTCTTCCCTTGTGTTCCTTCATGGTCTTCCTGATGTTAATTGCATATCGGTTTACAGAGACCGAGGATGGTCAACCCCATGCCGCGGGTCATGACCCTAACAGGATGCGAAGATGCCTTGCAGCGTCCAGACCACGACGTCATGCCAAATTTGAGCTGCCGCAGCATTTTGCTGGGCTTAGACTGCCAACATGAGGCTGTGGGTAGATTAAGAAGCACAAGTCGTCGACAAAAGATCGCCCTGAGCAAGATCCCAACCTCGCGCAAAATACAGCGACAGCCCCTAACTGGTGACTGCTCACAGCAAGCTCGCATAGAGGTCCAAGGGAGCGTCGCGTCTAATTGGGGAGCCGTGCCTCGGCCTTCACGTGGTCCGGTCCAGGAGAAGGTCCGAGACCCCAGGCAGTCCAGGCAGTCCAGGCAGTCCAGGCCTGTGGGTCGCGTACACATGCGTACGCTCGCGCCTTTGCTCAGGTGAATGAAGCTTGTGCCCAGCCATGTCGCCGGAAGTCTCTTGCTCTTCTTCAGCATGGCGCAGGACCGAGCTTCGAACTTTGTTTCTGCGCTTATACCTGTCTGATGCATCAGCAAGTTGCTGTGCTTAAATTTGACATCTACTCCACAAGCTGGTCAAAGAAGCGCTTTGCTGCATGTGCGAATCTACTCTGGGCCTTCTCAGATGCGTTACGGATGTGGGGTTGCGGCGTATGTGCATATCCTTTCAGCTGTTCGTACAAGCCAGTGCGCCATCGTGCGACTTTGTACAGTATGGTGGATGTGTGTGTGGGTGGAGAGAGAGAGAGAGAGAGAGATACAGCCATCGAGCTGTAGTTGATGTACTCATGAAGGGGGATCCGCTGTAGACCACTGTGCACTAGGGCAATGGGGGGAGGGCTGCTGCAGGGACTTAGGACACTGCCTTCGAGGGCGCGGCGACGAGGCCAGATAAAGTTCAGGGTTTGGCGGGCTCCAGCAGCAGCCTTTCACCACCAGCCGAACAAAACGACAGGACAAAAGCCCAAACACCCCAAAGCCTCCTCCCCACAAGCGTTTGAGGGAGGGGCGCCTCGGCGCGGGTTCGCCTGGCGGACCTGAACCCACCGGAAGGAAGGATGGAAGACAGCCATCGAAGAACAAATCAATCTTCTGAGGGAATCCTTGCTCGCCAATGAACTGCGGGTGTGCGAACTCGCACGGCGGGAGCGGATGGACCGCTGCTCTCGCCATGGCCTGTTGAGAGAGAGAGAGGAGACGTGAGAGGCAACTGCATCTAAATGAATGTCGCGAACACTAGACAACCTCAGGCATGGTGTTTGAACTCCACAAAATAGACAAGCCTACAGAAAGAGATCCAGTGGAGCCAATACAAGAAAGAGGCCCAGACGCCGTACACGACTGCTTGCAATGGCAGTTGCGCCACGTCGCATCCCTCAATTTGTCCCACTGTCGACCACTGACTCACTCTATCCAACCCATCTATCAAAGGGTTGTGGTGGTCGGAACTCGGAACTGCCAAGGCCAGGCTGGCGGTGGACGGAACGACCGGGCGGGAGTCGCATCCAAGACAGTGCTGGAGCTCTGGAAGCAGCCGAAGGTTGAGTGGAAGGCAGCTGTCCTCGTCGGGAATACATGGCATCAGACTAAACGAAACGAATGAGGCGTGTTCGGGTCGTTCATTGCAAGTGCTTGCATGGCCCAAACAGTACACGGCTGCCCCGCACTCTGATGTGCATGGAACTAGTAGGTCTCAAGCCAGAGGTGACTCCTGCAGGAATGGATGCCCAGAAACAACGCACATTAGCCCTTCCGTTTTCATGTGTCTTTCAGCGTCGAAACCGATGCCTTGGTTTTTCTGTGTTGGTCGCATGCAGCAGCATGATTGCTCCAACCTTCAGCCTTCCATTGCTAGTGAGACTGCTAGACAAGCGAAATTAATTTGTGGTCGTATCAGTATATCGGCGAGTTCATGTACGGGTCTCATGGCATTGATAAGTGCGTACCTAGGCTGTCCTCCCGGGACATCTCCGTCAAATTAAGGTGCATTCCTTCTCCTGTTTGCCGTCAGGATGTAGTCCCCCATCGTGAGCCATTTTTGCATTTAGCTCAGTCCGTGCCGCGCTTGACAGGAAGTTGTTCGAGAGCCTTCATGCGAGATTCGGGTGCCACAAGCGAACTGCAGCCACCAACAGACTGTCACCTGTACTTGAGCAGTCCGTTTGCATAGGAGCACGACCTCAGCCTCTTCGTAAGCTGCAGCAACTTGGGTCAAGATTTGTGTAAGACACGAAATTATTACGACATGAATGCCATCATGCTATACTAATAGTTAAGGGATGCGCAGTATTAACGAACGAGAACAATCCGGTTCGATTCCTCGCCATTCAACTGCGCTGTCAAGGTATTCGGGTTCAGGGATTCTTTCAGGGTTCAGGGCTGCTGTTTGAAGGTTTTGGGCTTTTGGGGTGTTTTTTTCTCCGACCTTTCATATTAATTTTGCAGTTTTTTTTGCCTGAAGGGGGTTGGGTGGGTGGGCTGCAGGGGGCTGCGGGGCGCTCGCGGGTGGAGGCTTCGAAGCAATATACAGGTGGAAGCAACATACCGTAACATACCGTATTGACATGGCTTAGGTTAGATCTGATGAGATCTGTCATACCGAAATTGTATTATTCTATCTTATATGGATAATCATGAACTCGATATGATATGTGATATGTATATTGAGATTAGACAAATGCTTACATCGCTAGTGAATTCCAGTTTTGGTGATACTGCCTAATTTGCTACAAGTCAGTACCATATATCAAGATTATGCAGAACTGATATGGCTGATATATTCATAGACAACTAATAAAACTTACGCTTATGATTTTACATTACCAACTGGAATATTAGTTTGTATTCTGCTATGGTACAGACAACCTCCTTGATGGGGACGGTGCCACACTGTCCTCGGCACCGTCCCGTCGCGCGGAGGGCGTACTCGGAAGTGCTGCCACATCGCAGGGATGGCCTTTCATTGGCCATGGCTGGAGGTGGTCCCTGGTCACATGGCAGTCGTGTGAGAGTCTCTGCTTCGTGCCGGCATCCGTTGCTTAGTACCTTCATGAGGGATCATGTCGAGAACCGCTTTGGATCTATGAAGTGGGCTGTCTTGCCAAGTGTGCTTCCAACCCTTGCTAGCTTGCCCCTGCTGGCTGGGGGGGCGGGCCCATGGAGATTCAGGTGATGCCGGTTGCTTGCTTTGCCGCGCGTAGGGCCATGACGTTTTCGGAGCCCTACGCCCCGTTTGCGTCTTAACCCCTTCTCGGGATGGAGACAACGCGGGTGCCCGTCCTTNNTTTGCCAAGGGGCGACTCTCACTCACCCGCGCTATGGTACAGAATGGTTTTTATACCATGAAGCCTATAGCATAATATATACAGCATATGCTGGATACTGCCATGTTATATTCCATTGTTGAAATTTTGTCACATATATTATCTATACACAGACTGTATGTATTATACAGTATACACTATAGGCTATAGGATACACTGTATTATGTTGTATTATAGGCATGTTCTAGCATGGGGTATGCATTTCAACATGTCATGATAAAACATGGCAGAAAAGAAAATTGTATAGCATAATATGATATATCACCTTTAACATACTATGGCATTATCGAGCCAAATAGAATAAGACATCATATCTTGTATACAGTATTCCATAAAGATTTATGGTATATTATACTATCCTGTACCATAGCAGAAGAGAGATTAACGTTAGAATCCTCAGTGTAAAGTCATAAGCGTAAGTGGTATTAGTTGCCCATGAATCTACGAGGCATATAAGTGCTGCATAATTTTCATATAAAATTCATATAATCACATAGCAGGACTAGTTTTTCATATCAGTAGACTCAATTGTAACATATCAAACAGTATTAACAAAACTGGAACTTGCTACTGATGTAAAAGTTGGTATCGTATCAATATACATATCATATTGGATAATATCAACAAAAGACTTTCTATATGATAGCTCTAATCTAATCTAATCTAATCTAA